GTCGACAGGTGCGAGCTGTGCTCTGAGAGGCAGAGTGCTAACTGAGCTGGAGACTGACGTTGACGAGGACGGTGTCTTGTCACCGTTGGCGTTCATATTCTTGAGTTTCAAGGGCGTGACGAAGCCATCCGTTTTTCGCTTTTTTCCGGAAGAATTTGGAGTGGTGGCGGCCTCTAAGTTGGCTGCGCTGCGCTTGCTCGGAGTGGCGAACAACGACAGAGGAGCATTGGCTGTCTGCGATGCCCCGTTCGCTCTTGAGGGCGTTCCCAGCTCCCGCTCCGACATCAGATCAAACAACCCCATGACGCGGCCATCTCGCTGCGGCGTGGGCCCAATCGACCGTGGTGCTGCGGGACTGAACAAGTGGCGGGCAATCGAGGGGGTGGTTGTGTTGGCGTCGTCGTAGAGAGGTGGCAGTGATTTTGAGGGCGTGGCATCGAGCGAGGCGTTTCGTGATTTGGAGGGGGTTGCAAGGTGTTTTTGACGTTTTGAAGGCGTTTGTACCGGCACGTCATTTGATTGTCGCTTCTCTGACTTTGGGCGTTCTGAGGGGGGTGGAATCTTCCCAGACAGTATGTCACGGGTCTTGTTGTACTGCTTGTATTTCAGGGCTGCCTCGTTAGCAGGGTCGTTCAGAGATCCACAAATGAGAGAGGATGTATGTACCAATCTCGGCATTCTGTTTTATGTCGTCCCGTCCGGGTTTCTTGCCATCGTGGGTCTTTGCCCAAGTGGTCTCCCAGGTCTTGAGGTCGGCGCGCAACTCTCGCGACTGGGCCTCGTACTTAGCCCTGTCGTGCTCCTCCATCGAAGTTTGATTCGAGTGGGCAGACGTGGCGACGGTTGAAGGAAGCTCGAGGGTACGCCAGGTTGTCGGTAGAAGGAGTGGTGTGCTCAAACGTCAGGACCAAGGTAAGTTGAGGTTGCAGCAGGTGGTGATATCATGTGCCTTCCTTTTCCCTGTATGAGTGTATCCCTCGTCCGAGTGGGAAAGTACCAGGGACAAGCACTAAACGCGTCGCCATTGGGTTCGCGTTCCCGTCATTCTCGCGTTGGTCCGGGCCCCGCCGCACGTACCACGCTATTGAGTCGGATTCTCCGCTTTTTGGGCGACACACCACCAGAGGGCAGCCTCCACTCGATAAGGTACCGTTATTTGGGATGTGAGTCTTCCCGACGACATAACACCAAGGCGTATGAGGATAGATTGCTTCTGACAGCTGAACAAACGCGAGCCCGGTCGCTCTACACATCAAACGAGCTCGACGGTTCGCTTCATAGCTGTAGGGCGAACACGGAGCGACTGGAGAGAAAGCTTCATCCAAACCTTAGCCGCAGTGCGATACATCGCATGAACCCTCAAGCTTTAAAGTAACCACCCAGTAGCAGCACTGAGGTCGAGGAAACAAGCAGTGAAGAGAGAGCAGGAATCCTGAGATTGATTGTATGATCCTGACATTGTATACACACCTGGATCCAGGCCAGGCGCCTCAGGATACTCGAGAGTCGTCGATGCTCCCATCATGCTCGAACACCCGAGATCCCCTTGGCGAAGCACGTTGCAGTGTTCATCATGGGTTCTTATACCTGACCCTGAGGCTGAGGGCTGGTTTGGATGCTGGACATGTGGTGGTGGCAAATCATGGCACATTACCCCCTAGAAACCATCACTCCACTAAGCCTAGGCTGCCTACCTTACCTAAGGGACCTAGGTAGGGAGTTAGGTAGGTGACTTAGGGGACCTAGGGGAGCCGCAGCCTACCGATCCTATATCTCCTCCTCTCCCAACTACCTCTCGCCACACCCATGATATTGGCAAACACATCGACCCAAGAACACTGCAGGCAGCGGCATGTCAGCAATACCGCCTGACACCGATACCAGGCCCTCCCTCCAAGACATTCACTCCGCCGTCCTGCAAACAACGCTCAAGACGTTCGGCTCGACCGAGGACTGTTGCGTCATCTGTCTCTCTGAGCTCTCGGAAGGGTGCGAGGCACTCCCCTGCCACCACGCCGACTTTGATTTCCTGTGCCTCACTACCTGGCTCGAGCAGCAGCCGGCATGCTCGACATGTCCCCTTTGCAAGGCTGAGATCACCGAGATTCGCTACGACTTTTCGTCAGACCGAGCGCAATGGAAGACCTACCACGTCCCGTCAAAACCAGCACCACCACCACCATCGCAGCAGCAGCAGCAGCAGCAGTATCACAGATCCCATGATAGGACCCGCAGCGGTCCTGGTCCCCATACATCGCCAGGCCACTTTGCCGAACGCCGCCGCTTCGATCCCCTCGGCCTCCGCCGCCCGCGCCCTTCGCTCTACCGCACTCGTCGCGCGAGGGGCTCGGCCCAGGACGACGACCCCCTGCGGCACCGCCGCTTTGTCTACCGCAACCAGCTCTACTCGCTGCGTGTCGGCTCGAACCGCGTGTCGCGCTACCGCGAACTGACGCCTCATATGTTCGCCACGGACGCGGAGCTCGTCTCGCGCGCGCGCATGTTTCTGCGCCGCGAGCTGCAGGTCTTTGAGTTTCTGGCGCCCACGAGCGACACCTCGACGGCGGCGGCTGCGGATCAAGCCGCCGCCGAGAGGGACCCTGTGCGGCGGCGCAGGGCCAACAACGCCGAGTTCCTGCTCGAGTACATCGTCGCCATTCTCAAGACGGTCGACATACAGGGCAGCATGGGCCAGGCCGAGGAACTCGTTCAGGAGTTTCTCGGGCGGGAGAACACAAGGCTGCTGTTGCACGAGCTGCGCGCGTGGGCTGCGCAGCCCGTACATGGCGCTCGAGAACTGGGACAATGCCGTGCAGTATCCCGAGCTGCGAGCCAAGCGGGGGCGATCGCGGAGTCGCAGCCCTTCTGTCGAGGGCACATGGCGACCGGGGTCTGAGCAGGTCACGTATCCCTCGACGTGGCGGAGGGGCGACAGTTTTGGAGACAGGCCAGGCACGTCGCGGTCGAGGTTTGCGCGGGAGTAGACGTCTGCCCGCTTTTCTGTTGAGATACCCATGAATATGTATAATGATTTACGATGAAATTTGTCACCGAGACCCAGTTCTCATTTCTTCCTGTCGATTCCAGCTTGCAGGCATCCCAAAAAAAAAAAAAGACCAGAAAAAAATTGATACAGCACGCCATCTTGCAAGACGTGGTCCTGTATTGACAAACCAAGTATCCCATCGGCGTCATTTTACATCCGACCAAGTCGCTACTCCGACACCAGTCGACGACCCCACCCCCAGTTCGATTTGGTGCCGCCTGCTGACGGACAACGGTTCGGCCTCCCCGACCGAGGCACCGGCCGCGTTGTTCCACCGCACTACAGCGAACTCCACCGGGCAAGGCCGAACAAAAGACGCCGACGTGCTGACAAATGTCCGCCACGGCCGCCGACTTTAAAGAATGGCCGGCCCTGCGCAGGAACATCTCCTGTTACCAGCCTCCATCCACATTCGTCTCGTCCTGTGCTTCACTCGAGAGTCCTATTGAAGATCAACTGAGTTCTTACGCTACGGCATTCGCAGAGACAACCCCCTACATCATCCACCCACCATGACCAACTTCAACATCAAGATCATCTCGGACAACGTCTGCCCCTGGGTAAGCACCTCGCCACGCCAGCCTCCCCTCCAGCCTTCCCTCCAGCCTTCCCCCAATCTGGCCTCCAGTCACCCTGCAGCCCCAGCTAACAGGCCCCTCAGTGCTACGTCCGCAAGCGCCGCCTCGACAAGGCCATCGCCCTCTACCAGAAGACGGTCCCCGCCGGCAAGGACGACACCTTCACCGTCAGCTGATCTCCCTTCTACCATGCA